GGTCACTGCCGGACAACCAGTGACGAAATATGCCAATAGCGAAAACAACTGCAGAAAGGCAGGAGGGGAGGGATGAATAAAATAACTGTCGGTGCTCGGTGCTTGTACCAGACATTACGCCCCAGTATAGGACCGTGTAGTATCGGTTAGGACGCCACCCAGGTACGCATGCACTCCTGACTGTGCTTGTTGAGACCGCTGAGCGCCTGGTGGGCAGGCCACCACGCCCGCTGTGCGCTCGCGTGTAGCGCTGGCTGGCCTACCCTGGCTGCCACAGGCGCTACGGTGTCAAGTCGGTCACCAGCAACTGTTCAGTCAACGTCCGATGGTTGGGAAAGTTGACTTGACGTACATACCACTCCCATCTGTCACTCGAACCACATTACTATTCAAAAATATGTACTGCAGTATGAGAATGAATGGTTACGAAAGCTGTGGACGGTCTGCGTTGTTTCACTTTGAACTTTAAATATGTCATCATTTTGTCCTCTGCTTTTATGCTGGCAGTAGCATTTTGCTTGTGTTATAGATAGACGACCCAATACATGCGCTTATCTACCACAACCTTCCAGTCTGAGGTTTGCATGGAAGAAGATTTTTAGAAAAGGTAATGATGGCTTGTATGCTATAAACTAGATTTATTGTTTCCAAAAGGCAACAACTATTAATGAGTCTGATAAAAAAAATACAATTACCTAAAACTATATTTACATTCTGGTTCCACTTGGAAGTGAAATCTCATCCTCTGCTAAAGAATCAATGATTTCACAGGTAAGGTAGTTGCCCAGTGTGGCGGAGCGTAGCGGGGAACCAAAACAAAGCAGAAAGCAACAAAAGAAAACTACGTGATACATCCAGAAAGCAGTATTTGACAAGGTTTCAATCAATGTGCAGCCTTTATATACACCTATGCATTCACATAGCACTTCGAGAAAATAACTTAATCCGCGATATAAAGCATTCCTTCTCGTAGGTTATGGTGCTTTGTTTTGTTTCCCGCTACGCTCCGCCACACTGGGCAACTACCTCATAAGATTAAACTTTCTACAGTGATGCATGTGACTTTTAAATGGTGAGCTGTAATTAAGTAAAGAAAACCTCATTTGAAACTTGCACTTTTGCAGCTAATGTTTAGAACTTTCGTTGTTGTTTTTAATTAATTGTTTAAAGGCCACTAAAATTTGCATATTTACCCATTGTAATTTTCTGGATGTACATAGAGTCAATATTGACAAATATGGAAAAGGTATGTCATTTTATGTTGGTTCTTACTTTTAACTGACTCTACTTTATGAAACATATGTTCTTCATATAGATGAAACCTGTTTACTTTTCCTGATTGAGACTTTCCATGTTCATTAATTTCATAGAAACGAGTCAGTCCCATTCAGCCATACCCTTTGTATATAGATCTACACTTGTCGCAGGATATCTATTTATATTTTAAAAGCTGGCTTTGACCCAAAAGAAAATAGCTACTTGTAAATGAGAAGCTTTGCTTTCTCTGCAAAAATTAACAACAACCCACGTCAAATACCGGGATCACAGAGGACGGTATAATGAGAACTTTGTGAACATTTCCACCATGAGTTTTAAGAATATCATGTCATTCGTAACAAGAAAAAAAGGCATAATGACCTTCTTCATGACTTTCCTTGAAGGCTGGATAATATCATGTGATGCATAAGAATTAAAAGTAATCATTTTACAACATAGCCATAATTTAGACTGCACATACACTTACTATACTTATGCTGCTCATATTTCCATTCTCTCATTTGTACACACACACAAACAACAATATTGACATGATAAGTTCATCAAAATATGAGGTTCAAAACCCACTGGTCACACATATACAAAAATGAAAATGCACAAGTAAAAATATGAAATCAGTCAACAACAGTGAGCATTCCCTCCTCAGGTCCAGGGCCCCCATTGACGTCTTTAGTAGCCTCCTGGTGAGCGAGACGTTCTGCCTCTCTGCGTTTGTACTTCTTGGGAACACATGTGATACACACAAGCCCAATCACAAGAAGGCTGCACTGCACAATGTGTGCAATGTCGGGACTCACTTCCTCAAAAAGGAGAGTGTAGCCCATTTTTACTAGTAAAGCTGTAGGCTGTACAATAAAAAGGACTAAAATAAGTAACTTTGAAACTTAAATACTTCATATTAGGTGACTCTGTTCTCCCATACCTGTATTAACCAGTTGATAATAGCGGTGGGGTTTCCCTCTGGCTCAGGATAGGTCAGTTCAACAGCCAGGGCGAGACCAGGTACGTAGAAACAGGGCATGAAGAACCTAAAAATAGGCGTTTCAAATAGTTCATATGGAAAACCATTAAGAAGAAAATATTTTTAATACTGTACATTAAAAAACTGTGCAAATTCAATCTCACCCTAACATGATTGCAGAAGCATAAACATAGTAAATGGAATCTGACTTGCTGACTGACACAGAGTAGGCAATGGCACCAAGGAGTGCAAATGTGTAAATCAAAACAGCCCATTCTCTGAAAAACAGTAAAATAAAATTAATTTGAAGACAGAAGTAAAATACTATATACCATGAAAACATACGGAAACATATGGAAACATATGGAAACATACTTATACAGCCTTGTGTAGGAGACAAGGAAACCAATCAAAATAATTCCAACGATACCTCCTAGAGTCATAAACATTCCAATATATCCAGTATCTGTCTTGTTATCCTAGAAGATAAGAGACAAAATTAGTCAGAGGAAGGGAGACAGATAACAGACAGTAGATCCCAATTCAGTTACAAAGGCAAAGAACCAAAGACTGAAAACTGAATTAAAATTGAAAGAAAACAATCGAGAGATCAAAACCAGTTATAATATAATTAAGTCTAAGTCAATATTCAATTTGAAATGCACTATTTGTAAGCTAATTAATTAAAGACTTGTCAGTTTAAAATGTAATAAAAACAAAGTGCGACTTTGGTTTTGTCTTTTTTGGTGTACACATGCTGTTGGTTTTCAGATATTTCTGTCCCGGACTGAAGAAGGGGAAGTGGAGGCCCACCGGGAAGAAGAAGACGACGGTCCTGTCCATGAGCACGCTGAAGCCGATGAGCGTGGAGGAGAAGAGCGCGCACGCGAACAGCAGGATGACGAAGTGCGGGTCGCGCATGATCCTCCAGAGCGACCTGAAGAAGGTGAGCGCGTTGCTGGCCGCCGCGCTGGCGGGGGAGGCCTTGGCGGCCTGCGACGGCGACGGCGGCAGCGGCGGCTTGTCCTGGAACACTGAGGAGCGCGGCGGAGCGCCGCGAGTTAGGCAACCCATCGCGCGCCTCCGCCCGGGCGCAGGCAACCCACCGCGCACCGTGGCGGGATGCTTGTAGGAAGGACGCCACAATTAGATAACATTTATCCGGCTGGAAAAAGTACCCCACAACCGAAGAATGTCGTAATTTCTGTACAGGCCCTTTAAGGTGTCATTTCCATTTTACCAGGGGCGACGGGAGCGATGAGTGACCATCAAAGTGAGAAGTCGTCAGTCATCGATTGAGGAAAATTTGACATCGATTTGATTTTGACCAGGAAATTGACGGATTTTCGAACTCCACGATGAGTTGGCGTCTATTTAAAATTCCATTTATCACTGGGCACGGGCAATTTGCAGCCCCCCCCCCCCTTCCCTGAAGTACGTAGTTTGTGCGCGGCCCATTAAGGACCCGTACGCCTCTGACTTATCTTATCACTAGCCGGTCACCGGGCCGAGGCTAAAGCCGAGGCTGCCCAGTTCAGTTTGGTAAAGAGAGGCCGGGTTCGATATCTCGAAGCGTCCGGGGCGGGCCGGCACCCCGAGCAGCTTATCGGCTGTTTATCGGGATGCTTGAGGGAACGACCTCTGGCCGCGAGCGCGACGGGCCGGGCCAAGAGGGGACGCGTGCGCGGGAGCCCAAGGAGGCCGTCGGGGAGGTGCTTACGGAAGATCACGGCGACCAGGAGCAGGGTGGCCACCACGCCCAGGCCCACGTTGGCCGTCAGCAGGCCGTAGTAGGTCTCCTCGGGAACCTTCTCGTTGACGGAGAGGGGCGCGATGCCGCAGCCGACCGCGATGCCCAGCTGGAGAAAGAGATGGAGGTTGTGGTTAAGACGGACGACGGCCACGTGACACCAGCTCACCTCCCCGGGCTGCACCGGGCCACCGTACCCACCATGATGACGAGGTAGGAGCCGCCGACGGCGCCGGACACCTCGCTGGGCGGGAACCACACGGCCGCCATGCGGGTGGGCGCCGAGGACACGACGAAGAGGGTGGCGATGGCCACGAGCGCCTGGCCGGACATGGCGAGCCAGTAGCCGTCCGCGCGGCAGCCTAGCGTCTTGAGCCAGATGCCGGCGGCGGTGCCGGCCGCGCCCACCAACACGCTCACCCGGAGTCCCTGCGAGACACGCATTCATATTGACGGAGGTGGAACACAAAAAGGCAACCCTCAACAACATTGTCGAGTCATACTAATAATGGCAATAATTATCACATTTCCGTCAATATCACGACATTATGACGCGACATTGTTGGCCCGGCCGGCTCGGGCCCGTCACTTACATACTTGTCAAGCACCCAGGCGGCGGGGAAGATGAAGAGCGCAGCGGTGGCCGACGACACCATGGTCATCCACTCCAGGTTGTTCTTGCTCACGCCGTAGTACTGGCTGAGGATGTCGCCCACCACCGTGTACTGCATGTAGGGCACCGAGTTGAGCGTGATGACGCCCAGGTAGAGCGCGAGCATGAGCCAGCGCCGCGAGTACACGCGCACGACGGACGCGGAGGCCGGCGTCGTGGCGTCCTTCAGGGCGGTCTCCTCCGGTATCCTGGGCTGCTGGCTCTCCACGCTGAAAACACACGGACAGGTCGTCTCAGTTCAAACCGGAAAACAAGAAGTATAATGGACATTGTGACGTCAGGGGGGACTGATTTCGCTTGGCTTGTCTCGTCCGGTCACCGGGACTGGCCGAAAGGGTTTGCTCGAGGTCGGAAAATAGGGATCGGCGGCTCATTTAAAACCCAAAGTGACGCACCGCGCACGTCTTTGTGTGTCTGGCCCGCGGCGGCGCGGCGTGGCGCGTCGACATGCAGATCAGCGCTAATTCAGACCAAATGTGTCCGGCCGACGACGACCGCCGCTACCTCGGCAGGCAGCACCCTGCAAGTGCAAACGCTGCAGAACAACGGCCGACATAGTTTGACCCAGGAGCAGGAGGTCCGACTCAGCGCAACCTCGGAGCAACGCACTACGTAGTACTTGTGCTCCGGGCGCTGCACCCAGTGCCCCGTGGGGAGGCCCAGAGGGGCCCACAGACCCCGGAGAATGCAGCCTTGAATGTAGGCAGCCGTCTCTCGGCACGGCGCCTTCTGTCCTCTTGCGAGTACACTGTAAATCTGGGGTGTCCAGCAGCTGTGCGACTTAGCGCACAGTT